TGGTAGCCCAGGCTGGCCTCGAACTCACAGAGATCCGCCTGGCTCTGCCTCCTGAGTGCTGGTATTAAAGGCGTGCGCCACCACCGCCCAGTTAGAACTAGGTTTTTAATTATTTAAAGTATTAAAGAAAAATCTAGCCAGGCTGTTTAGGCACATCCCTTTAATCCCAGAACTCGGGAGGCAGAGGCAGGCAGGTCTTTGTGAGTTCGAGGCCAGCCTGGTCTAATGAGTTCCAGGACCTCAGAGGCTACACAGAGAAACCCTGTTTAGAAAAAACGAACAAATCTAAAGGCTAGGCGAGGTGGTGCATGTCTTTGATCCTAGCACTCAGGAGGCAGAGGTAGGAGGATGTCTGAGTTCTAGGCCTACATAGGGAGCTCCAGGATAGCCAGGGCTACATAGAGGGATCCCTATGGGGGGAATCGGAAACGGTAGTCTCCTTCTCCTCCAGTTCCTTGCTCCCTTTCTTGCCTGGCGTCTTGGCCAGTTCACTCGTGTTCCTTCTTAACCCCACTGACCTGTTCTAAACCATCTGCCAATGTGTTCCTGCCACCTCCCAAGGCATACGTAGAACAAGGGGAAGTTGTGGGTCATGAGAAGAATAAAGGAGCCTCTGGTGTCTAGTGAAGCTCCTTACCTGCTGACCGTCAAAAAACCAAATGACTATTAAAAACAAATTCTAATATATTTGCTGCAAATGTGTGCTAGAGACAATCATTCCTTTTAAACAGATTTTTTTAAAAGTAGAATGTTAAAATAGCAATCATACTTAAGGCCTGAGCCTGTAAGACTTTCAAGTATGGCCTCCTTTTTTTCTATATCTTCTGGGAATTTCACAGACAACATCAGCCCTTTGTTTGCAGTAAAAGCTTCTTAAATTGCTTTGCAACCCCGAGGGCCTAGGCTTTTTCCTTATCAGTTGTGAACATCCAATAAACAGCATATACGGCAATATGGTATCATGTATGGACGGGCTCCTGGGCAACCCTTTGGAAGTTAATGGATTTGTATATATTTATGCTACGGTCAAAGCCATATATCATGAGCATTAATATCTTTTTTCTATTAAAAAACAAACAAATTGTTTGAACATCTGGAAAAGCATCTTGCCCAGAATCCAGCTGCTTTTAAATAGTGGAGCCAGAAGATGATTTAGGCAGAATGTGCTCACATTCTTGATTCAGATCCACAGGGACTTGAGCTGTCCTGCTGGACAAAGTTAGAGAAAGAGAGTGTGTTCTTACCTAAAAGCCTTCAGTCTGTACAGTGACAAAATGCAGAGAAAGAAAATGGAAATAGAAAAACTGGATTAGGGTGAAGTTGGTGCTTAGGGAAGGGGCAAAAAAGATGTAACCAGAGAGAGGCAAGTGTAAAGAAGAAATGCCCGCATCTACGGGCGGTGGGGGGGTGGGGGTGGGGCTAATCTCTGAGAGTTACAAAATGTGTTGCACGAAGACAATCATAGAAGGCTGGAGTGATTCACACTGCACCTCCAGAAAGGCCATGAAAGAGTGTAAGCAAAAACCTCCAGCTGCTGCTCACGGAAAGTTTCTGGGATGGAGATGGGGGTGAGGCCGATGGCTCCTGTGTTGTTGAGACAGCGCCTCTCTATGTAGCTCTGCCTGTCCTTCAGCTCTCTCTATGTATAGACCAGGCTGGACTTGAACTTTCAGAAATCCATCTGCATCTGTCTCCCTCATGCTGGGATTAAAGGTGTGCACCACCACGCCTGGCACCGGTAACTATTTTTAAAGGCAATAGATTGTTGCAGGGTGGTAGTGGCGCACGCCTTTAATCCCAGCACTTGGGAGACAGAGCCAGGCCGATCTCTGTGAGTTCGAGGCCAGCCTGGTCTACAAAGTGAGTTCCAGAAAGGCGCAAAGCTACACAGAGGAACCCTGTCTCGAAAAGCCGACAGTAGATTGCTATTGGGATTTGCGAATTTGGTGTTTTGTTTTTGGTAGGATCTCACTCTGCACCCATATCCCTTATCTCAGGCTGGTCCAGAACTCACCAGGTACTTGAGATTGGCCTCGAGAGAATGGCAATCCTCCCTCAGCTGCCCAGATTCTTAGCTTATGGGAATAAGCCAACATGCAAAGTTAACCTATCTCTGCTTTTTTAAAAAAAATTCTTATTGCTAAAGACTTTCAAATTCCTCCACTTTTTATCTTGTTGAACAAAATTTGCGATTACACATAGGTAATGAAGACAATGAATAAAAAAATGAAATAGCAAGAACTACCTACCAGTGCTGAAAATTTTTATCCCTGACTGATTGAAGGTAATAGTAGTTATTTGTTTTATTTAAAGCTTAATGTAGCCCAGGTGACCTTAAATTCACTCTGTAGCCAAGGGTAACCTTGAACTTCTGAACATTTTCCCTCCATCTGTACATAGTCAAAGTTCCTTAGTAATTGCATAGCATTTGCCCATAGTAAATACCAAAACAAACAAAAAAACCCAAATCAACCAACCAAATAAACCTCCCAAAACAAAAAAGCAAAACCATGATAGGTGTTAGAGAAACAAATTAAAATAGAATAGTTTGTGAATTCATGCTCAGAAACAGAATAGTTGTGGTGTGGTTAAGCTATTGTAAAAAAGAATTTCAAAATAACACTTAAAGATTTTAAGTTAATTATTTTTTTTTTTAAGACATAGTAGCAGTGTATTTCCTTGCCTAGCCTGGAACTTGCAAGGTAGTCCAGACTGGCCTTGAACTCCAACAATCCTTGAGTTTCTGCCTCCTGGGTGCTGGGATGACAGGTTTACATCACTGTGCACTATATGAGAAAGATTTTGCTTTTGTGTTTTCTGTCAAAGGTGGCTAGCCTACCAAGGGCCCATGTTCCCTAAGTCTCCCAACCACTCATAATCTCTACCTGGTAAATCTTTTGTTTATACAAAGGCCCTGTATCATTCCTAAAACTTGATCACCAAGAGTGAGCGTCCCCCTCCCTCTTCCTTCATTTTTTTTTGTGCTAATCATGAACTAGCCAATCACGTCAGATCGTGACATCCCTCCATGGGATGATTCACAGTCACCGCCTGTGTTAGAAGGATGCACAGGTGGTGTTTATTTCTAAGTGAACTTATTGACCCAGTGTGCTGGAGCTAGCCTGGCTGGGATTCTGACACTTTTTGTTGTTGTTTTCCCAAGAACAGGGTTTCTCTGTGTAGCCCAGTCTGTCCTGGAACTCACTGTAGACCAGGCTGGCCTGTATTAAGAGATCAGCCTGCCTCTGCAGGAGCGCTGTGATTCAAGGTGTGAAGAACCATGGACGGGTGGCTCCCTGACACCTCTTCTTTCACAGAGACATTGTCTTTTCAAGTTACCTTTTGCTTTGTTTGGTATTTCTTTGAGGGAGGCTGAGAATGTTCTTTCTAGCAACTGTGGCCCT